CCATTCACGTCGTTTCGTATAATTTTTTAATCCACAACTCATTAAGAATCCATAAAATAGACGACAGAAAAGCGGAAATATTTTACAGCATATCACTTATTAAATTAGATATCCGATTACCAATAAAAACGTCCGAAACTAGAACCAGTAATGTGGCAACGATAACTGATTCATCAAATTCAGTGAACAAAAACTGAAATACCAATTGAGGCCACGAAGAAAATATGGCTAATTGAAAGAAGAAAAGCAAACCTCAACAAAATTTGTATGTTTTGCATCACGAACGGTTACACAAGCATGAACCTCCTCTATCAGTTTCTGCTTTTCATCATTGTCAAAATTCATATACCACTTCGCAAGACGAGTCTTACCTGCTCGATTCTGGATCAGAATAAATCGAATCATACTAAAACACAAAACAACAACTGAAATTTGAATAATTAAAATTTCCGACTGAAACTGAACAATGCAGTCGGCAACGATTAAAGCGACAGTCAGGAATATTTTTCCTTCTACATTTGGAAACTGTAATCAAATCGAATTCAGTGAATTCTATTCGATGCTAATCAGTGAATCAGTGAATCAGTCTGGAAAAATAGCCGAGTTTCACGATCAATCAAATTTGGTTTCAAAAGGATATAAAGAATATTACGTATTGAGACCTATTAAAAAGATACAAGCCGCTCTTTTCAATCTGATGATAAGAACAGAAATAATGAGATGATATTTATGAAATAAACAAGAACTTTAGAATCTGATCTATTGCAGACCTTTAAAACAATGAAATCATTTCCACTCATTTATTCAACAATTAAAAATCGAAGAAAAAGTTTGGCTAAACGCCATTTCACTTCTAATGCAAACCGATAGTCGCTTTGAGGTGTGTTTATTTGTATAAGTCAATGTTGAAGTGCTCCCGGATGAGTTATCTTTTAAAAATGAACAGTTTCCGGTATGAACCTCAACCTGAGGCTACACCCAAATATGGTGCACTACGACATCCCACTGTGACCGTTGACGCTTGTTGATTGAGTTGAATGAACAACGATAATATGTATTAATAAATCAGTAATAACGATCAAAATTTGTCGATTTTATACTCATTTCTAGCCGAGCTGTCAACTTACGTTGACTTTTCCCCATCCATCTGCATAATTGTAACACAGGTGAAAAATTTATATAATTTGTAACGGAGGCTTCATGACGTCGATGCACACAGTCAGATGAAGCATATCAATTCAAATTATAGCGATGAAAAAATAATTGTATAAAGTTAACAGTTGAACGAGAGCATGCATTTGAAACTGAATGAGAAGTAAAACGAATGCGCAGTATTCGTGTAGTTTCCCAAAACAGGGGATCTTCACTAATCAGCTGATGTGTGAGAAATTCCCACACACTCTAACATTCCCACCGTCGGTCAAAATATGTGAGAAGAGAACTGAAAGCTGTTACTTCATTAACCGTTGGGAGTGCGAACATTCTGAATGGGAATGCGAACCTTTAGAACGTTGATTACTCATAATTTAGTGATGGTAAAAGCAAGTTCCACTCCGTCTAAGCTCGTATTACTGGTTATTTTTTAAAGTTTTTAAGTTTTTTAACAACCTGATCAGCTCATGATGGGATTTCTAATCGTGGATTGGCCGATATTTTACGTAATAATTCTAGAATTTCATTAGTCGAGCATTTCAAATCGGCTGTCTTACCCTTTAAATCATATTTCCGGACTCTGTCCAACCTTCTAGTTATCAACAGTTCGAATGGATTGCTTTGTTTTTTGAATGGGACTCCACAATTTTAGTTGCTTTATGCGTTCGTATTCCGAAAGTAATATGCTCATGTTCTAAGCAATCGGATGTAATTGTTACAGTGCTAACGGCTGAAAATGCGACGTATCTTCGGAGCATCCGGCAAGAAGGAGCCACCACCAAATCTAGGTGATGCAATATTGAATATTGATTCACGAGCTGAGACTATCGATAAGAAGATCGGCATGCTCGATGCGGATCTCGTCAAATACAAAGATCAAATGAAGAAAATGCGTGAGGGCCCAGGCAAAAATCAACTCAAACAAAAAGCTCTTAGGTTATATTTCTTCCAAGTTCACATTTCAGTAACTCAGCCAAGATTATTCTAAGCCGAACATCTATAACTGTGCGACTCCAATGTATGAGACCCAGAAGCCTTTCTCAAAACGGTTTTCCCTTGTCGTTATGAAGTGGCGGAGTCTTCTGAGTCTGGATCGAGGCGAAAAATTTGTCTGAGAAAGTTTCGCATGTCTTCTGAATCTGTTGCGTAACCAATTATCAATTGAGACTATCAGCATTCCGTAATGAAATATTGACTTATCTGAAATGTATGATGTCGAATTTATAACTAATATCCATTCTATTCAGTCATTATATTGTTTTAATTTTTAATGAAAATTTCGCATTGGATTTTTAATGTGAAATGAGAATTTAAAATTCAGAATTTTGAAACAGAAACGTATGCTCGAAAATCAACGAGATCAATTGTCGCAACAGTCGTTTAATATGGAACAAAGTAATTTCGCTATTCAAGGAATGAAAGATACTCAGGCTAGTTTCATCGTATTCGGTCGGAAATTTAGTCGGAGAATTTTGCTGACTTCGACTGTGCTCCAAACATTTCTGCTGATCGATCAGTTCATCGGAGAAATAATCCTTTCTGCAGTATTTTCAGCAGAAATTACTCAGTTCTAGAACATTTTTTACTTTCCGTGCTCTCAGAAATCCTTTCGTTCTAACTGAAAGTCAATCACGTTTTTTAGACAACAGTTGCGGCCATGAAAGGCGGCTTGAGGACCATGCAAAGGGAATACAAAAATTTGGATATTGATAAGATCGAGAATCTTCAAGATGAAATGGAGGATATGCTGGATTTGAACAATGAAATACAGGAAGCGATGGCACGCTCGTATGCGACCCCTGACGTTAGTTCCATCTTTAGAATCATTTTATTATCATCAACGTTCAATGTTCGCAGTCAAAATTTTTATATTTAATCTGAAAATAACTGGATTTCCACCACAAAAGATGGCTAATCCCTCAAAATTCTGTGTGAATGTTCGTCATACGAGAATTTCGGTTTGCTACTTTCCGACGGATTCCATCGTATACTTTGAAATGTTTGCATGTTCATGACCGATTTTTTAAAAACGTTTAATTTAATCCCGCCGTTGGAGAAACTTTTCGTAATATGAGCTGGAGGGTTAGCATTCATTGTTTTGTGAGGATATGCTTCACCTTAGATGCTCGCCTCGCCTCTAATATTCATTTCCTTTTCTTGATCTGAAAGTTATCTCTTCAGATCGATGAAGCTGATCTTGAAGCAGAACTAGAAGCGTTGGGTGATGAACTGGAATTGGACGCTGATAGTTCGTACTTGGATGAGGCGTTGAATGCTCCTGGTGTGCCATCCAGAGAGCCTGGAGCTGCCAGCGCGGTCAGTGAAACTGTTTTGTTTATTCGTGCGCATTTATGATTCTGATTTAAGTAATTCTTATATGGAATCATTTGCATAACGGACTGTGAATATTCAACAAAAAAAAACAAAGCAATGATAAATGCAGGTGGCAGAAGGCGGTGTTGCAGTGGATGAATTTGGACTTCCGAAAGTTCCTGCACATAACTAGACAGCTCACGGCAGCTAGATGATCATGCTTCCGACAAACACATAAGCAATTTACTCCTTATTGCCAAAACTATGTTCGATCGTCTATAAAGACCATATTTTTTCCTACTGCAAGCATTTTCTTCAATTACATCACATGCTTTGATCACTTTTGCGTTTCTTCTTATCCGAGAAAAATTTCCTAATTTTAAAAATTTAGAGCCAGCTTTCCTGTTGAAATTATGTTGTGTTTTAATTGAGTAGTGCTGAATGTGAGTTCTTTTTTTGTGCACATTGGATTTCATATGTACATAATCAGTGTATTCGTGGGAAGTTCTCAATATGAATGTAATGTTTTGAAATGTGATTTCGTATTATCCATTGTATTCAATGCTTTGATTCTGAATAGCTCTTTTAATCCTTCATTTATCTTTTTTATTCTATTTCATTCCGTTCATTGCTTATACCAACAAAATTTTCATTTTCTACACAGCCATATGCAAAATGAATTCAATTTTCCAAGATTCCTTACAAAAACATTTGAAGGGCGAGAATTTTTAATCGAGTATGTGGAATTTCATCTTTTATTGAATATAAGTAATAATTTCAAATGACGAGAAGTTTAATCATAGACGTTTAGTATATATGTATGAGTTAAAGGTTTCTAATGGCTTTGATTAATAAATTTTCTAAACGCTTTAATCACATCGAAATATAACAAGTGCTTCAGTGGAGTTTATGAAAGGATTCTCTACTTGTAAATATAGCAAGATGAATTGAAAACGACTTTCGAGAAAGGAACTCTTTCGCTGTTTTTGGATTCGTTTTTTGGGTTCTACGATCTTTATTTATGCTTTATGGATTTGCTGTTGCATGCTACAATGGCCATCATTGTTCGGTAGTTATGTGGCGGAGTCGTCACATAACCGAATACTCAAGAGTCAACGGTAAGAGTAGTATGGGAATCCAAACACCCATTTTCGGGTGCTACACGTATTGCAAACAAATTTACTGAAGGATCTGCTTATGCATCAGATTTCGGATGTTAGATTTTGGACGCAGTAATTTCGTACTTACCGCATTATTCGA